AGAAACAGGGGAACGCATGCCTAGTAATCGAGCAAAAATGTAGCTGGCCTGAGATGCTGACAACAGTAAAAGCTTTCAGAGTTTCTTCATGGTTCCTCCGAAATCGTGTGGCCTCAAATAACTAAACACTTGCTTCATATTTGTGGTTTAGCTCAATATTTTACATACCAGCTTTTTTTCCCCTCTTAAATTCGAGGCTTGTTTTTGTTTCCTTTAACTCTTCGGAGGCCGTGTGAAGCTGACCCCCAGCCGCCGGGAGCGGTGGGACAGAAGAGGGCGAAGGGGAAGACTGAGCTGGCGGTCTGGGAGCAGAACGGGCTTGGCCGGGAGCTTGCTTGGGCTGAGGGAGCAGCTGCCCTCGTGGTTTGGACCTGGGCAAAGAGACCAGAGGGCAAAACAGGATGGTAAATGCAGATGTCTCCACGGAGGCTCTCTGCAGCCTCCTGGGAGCGACCTTCCTCGGTACCTGGGAGGAGAGGCGCTCGCTCCACGGCAGATCAGCTACCAGCCACCTTCGTAAGCGTGAGGACGTGGCTCTGCTGTATGCTGCCTCTGGAGAAGTGACACGTTTCTAATTACCTTTATTTCCACCTCCCTAGCTGCACACAGACATACTGTTGCTGACTCCAGCGAGGAAAAGAGGTTTGCGTTTCCCTTTATTCCTGCCGGCTCCGCCAAGCTGCCGCGGCTTAGAAGGAACGAGCCGATTCTCTCCCTGCACGTGCCTCGTCGGCCAAATTAGTTTCATAAAGCTTCACGGAATTGCATCCGGGCAAACCCGCTGGTGGCAACAGAGCGTCCGTTACGGCATTGCTTGACCTGTAAAACCTTTACTTGTAGGAGGTACATATGAAGAAAGCAGAACTGAAAGGGCTTGCAAACTCGGAGCCCTGTTTTTTTTCTTTTACAAGTAGCATCATGTTTGTTTTTCTTAACGTTAAGAACGTGGAAAATGGAGATCCTAGCAATCCATCTTTTTCTGGTGACGGTACATAGTAGGCCCTTGGTCTTGACTGTGCCTGTGGATCTGGAGGCCTGTCTCTGCTTTCCTTGCCCCTTCCTTGGTCACCCCAGAGCTGAAACCGGCAACTGCAGTAAGAGGGTCTGAAAGATTGTTGTTGACCACGAAATGTCAACTCTTGGCGTGGGCTGTAGGTCACTTTGCAGGTAAACTTAGTGACAAACATCTCGTCCGAATAAACAAACATGTGTTTACCCATGTTGCTTTAGAGCTGTTGGAGGGTTAGCACACACCTCTGCCTGCTTACAGTCGCTTCCCGCTCACGTAAACGGCGCAGGGGGAGGGAGGCAAGGCTCATCTTCTAATGCGGACGCGCGGTAAAGGAGAAACGCCTCTTGTCCTCAGCCTGCACAGGAAGAGTTTAAAAGCTGCCCTTGAGATGTTTTTAAGCTATCTGGTGTCTGAGACACTTGATGACCGGACTTTTACCTTGCGAACGCGAGGTCGATGCTTCCACGCTTGGCGAGCTGTCCCTGTGTTAACAAGGCGCCCCTTAG